GGGTAAGTAGTTCTTCTGCTATGAGGATGCAGAATACTAACAATAAATCCCAACTTCAGTACATATAAATTTCCATTCTGAAATGAAGTCTCCCTCATTTAGCACTACAGTGACTAAGTCTAATATTCACTGTTACTGAAAAAATAGCTTTAAGATCTGACTAGTGATAAGGACAAAGGAAAGGATTTCTGTGTGAGAAACAGCATTAAGATGAAATTAAGATAAACCACATAATTCTTAAGAGGAATCCAATCATTCAGGGGTAAAGTGGGTCTATTTTTTACATTCATTTGCATATAAATGTTTTGTGTTAGTGGTAAATGATAAATAATTTCATGCTGTTAGTGCACACCAATGTTTTCTCTGCCAAATAACAATGCTATTTCATCTGCTGCAGTCTTCTAGCTTTACAGATTCAAATATACAGTGTATAATACATTCCTGTGCAGCCATAGCTATATAGTTATAAGTAACTAGCTACTGAAGCCAGTACTGAAATCAGTATGCTGTCCAAAGCAAAATCTGCTTGTTTTTTACCCAAACTTTATTCTGCACAAATGCAGATTCTCTGAAGAAGTATTTTGCAAATTCACAGAGACTTTATGAAGTTCTCTGTTTAAAGAAGACCAAAGCATTTAAAAGTTATTTGTGAAATGTTCTAAATATTCTTATCTTCCCAGAACAAAATATTTTCCACTTTAAAGTCTCCTTTTAAAAAAATATTTGAAAATGTTTAAAATCAAACAAAACTAATTTAACCTCAATTGAAGCAAAACATACATGACATTTCTGAGAAGGAAAACAACAACAAAAAATTCTTCATGCACCAAGGCATTGGGGTGATACAAAGATATCTTTGACTGTGTGGTCTTTACTCTTTGTATTCTCCAAACAACATGACAAAGGTTAGCATTGTCTGGGAAAAATATGATACCAAAGAGACATAAAATTTAGAGTCTATGGACATTCAGGAAAACATGGTGACATCCCATTTTAATAAATGAAACACCATCTCCTGACAAACAGATGATGGAAAAAGGATTATGATCATTTCTTTCCTTTCTGCAGTGCAGTTAGGTATTTCAGGAGCTACAAGTCTTCTAGATGCATCCCAGGCCTGAAGACTGATAAAATTATCTGATGGCATTATCTAAGTAATCTGTTCCTCAGTATGCATTCCTCTTTTTATAAGCATCACGTCCATATTTCCTCAATTTACTTTCTCTTGGCACTTCTATTTAACCTCCAGTTCTTAAAGCAAACATCAGAGTAACATGGCTCATAGCATTTTGTGCATTGATGAAGGTCTGCTGTGCCATGGTTTGTTTACTGATTGAATATAAACGTAGACTAGCTTCACCGCCACTCACATACGAAAAAGGATCATTTTGACCCTGGATCTGGGTGATAATTTTATAACTGGTGAACAAGTGTATCTCTTACTACCTGGGAGTAGCCTGGAGAAAAAATACCATGGCAGCTAACTTGGTACAGTTTCTTCTGTATCTCTAGAGCTGGACGTGCCATTCCTTAGTTTATCATTTTTCAACCAGTTTTGCGATGTCAATTATTTTTTGAGATTTTGTCAGTGTGAATAAATACATCCACATCAAGCAGGAATCTACCCATTTTTGCCACCAGTGTGATCTTGGTTTCATGTCCCAGTTTGAACAGAAAGAGACAAGAGACATGCCTTGCCAGAAATAGAACAACTCGACAGGCGTTATCTCCATCATGCTATTTTCTGAAGGATGGACCAAAAACCATTCAACAATGAAACACCATCACAGACCTCACTACTTTCTTTTAGGAACATATCATTTATCTTGCACTTTCTGACATACAGGTTTTTTAAAACATAAAACCACACTGAGATAAGATAATCACAGACTGAAGGAGAGAGTAAAGAAACAAACCGCATTAGTTACATTTTCCTTTCTCTTCAGTGATGGTATGTGATATGTACACTCCTGTCAGTATCAGCAAGAGTGACCTGTAACTGCAGTAGCAGCTGGGTAAAATCTATATTCCTCCTTCTTTGAAGCACCATAGGAAAAGAAATACTATGAATCTCACCCCCAGGACGCTTGCTCTCTTGTTGAGAGCAGAGTATGGCAGACTGGCAGCCAAGAGAAACTCTACTAAGATGGATAACACAGGCCACCATTTGTTCTCTGATCAGCTAATGAACACTGGAGAATCTGTTTGTTACAAGTGCTTATGACAGGAGGGGAATACTGCAAAAAACCATAGCCACCCACCCACCTTCTGTCAAAAATCAATAAGCAATATTATTTAAATAGAGCTACCAATCATAACTGGCTCCCAGATATTACTGTGGCACACAGTTTGTTTATTTAGCACTGTTCAATAGCCTCTGCCTGGGTTAGGGCAATCCCATTCTATCTCCATACGAGTCAAATATGCTTGTTCAGGCTTTCCACTTTCCTCCAGGAATAAAATGTTGCTCAGTGAATCACAGACATGCAACACAAGCAGCTGGTTTGCCATTTGCCATATCGACAGCTGACAGGGCTGAAACTGCAAGTAGAAGTTTACTCGCAAAAAGTGCTGAGAAGGGGTGCAGGGAGAAAGCAGCTCCTAAAACACATCACCTAATCAACACTGCAGAAGCTTTTCTCATTGATGGTAACTCTGTCTTGGAAACTCTCCCCTGAAGATTGGGAGTAGTAATGAACAGTGTGACGTGCTTCTGTCCCCCTCAATTGTCTCCAGTGCCAAAAACTGTTCATGAACTCAGACAGAATGGGGAAGAGAATCAGAAGTTACAATCATTTTGGTTTTCATTGATTAATCTTAAAACAATCAGGGATTATGCTTGCAAGGCAAAATTAACATTGCTATTTCTACCCCATCATGCTACCCATCATCTCCAGCATCCAGATAGATCTCAACTCAGTTGGATAACATACTTGTAAGTCATGCCAAGTTCTATCATGTCAGACCCCTGTCAAACTCCAGTGAAACAAAAAAAAAAAAGTCATATAACTTTCATTAAAATAAAAAACAAACAACTTTGAACAGTGACTGCCTACATTGGAGAATCATAGGCTTGAAGTTCTTCAAAACAGTCAACATTATAGGTTAATCAGAAGAAGGGGCAAGCACTAACCAGGACAGATACTTATTGATGCAATAAAAAAAGGAAAGCTTGTAAGTATAGGATCAGTAAAGACAAAAGGATTGCCTAATTACATTTCCTAAGAGGTTTATCTGATTGGTGAACAATAAATTCAAATTAAGTCCACTAAAATCAATATAACAATCACATTTTGTATCCCTGAGGAGCCATCAGGAGCCAATTGTGAGACTGCAAAAACCTCAGCCTAAATGAGAAGCTGTGATCTGAATGCATGCTGTTGTGTTTCACTGACAAAGTTTTCTTTAAAACAAACTCAGAAAAACAGACAACACTATGTGCAACAAGGACCAGGAAAGTAGAGACTTGCTACCTGAATTAAGGATGTAGTGTTATCCTTTGCTATGAATTTCTTATTTTATATTCATCTTAGTTCCATACAGTTTTGCCTACAAAGGGAGCTACAAGGACAAGTTGTACTTGTTTATCTAAAGATAACATCTGTAATTACATATCCAGGGGGGGGAAAGACATTTCAGCAAATAAACAAAGATTTTTTTCTGTGAAAATGGGTTATTTTTCAAAGAGCCAAAATCAGTCTCCCTTTGTGCCTGGGAAGAATGGTGATCAGTGTTCACCTTAACCTAGATTTTGTTTCAGTTAATTAAAGTATTTTGTTTCTTGTTTCCTTTTGCACTGTCTGATGAGAAAAGCACTTTGTGAATAACTCACTCTGTTTCCTTCTCTATCAATAGAGCAGTTTTTTTAATAGGATGGCACCCTTTGCATTATTTAAAAACAAACAGATGAGTTAACTTACTGCACTGAGCCACTTTGCAACATTATTAGAAGCACTACTCTAAAGAAGAGAATATAAGATGTATTTAAAATCAAATGTCGTGCTGTATGGGCAAGCTTTTCTCCCTTTTTCACATTTATTATTTATTTTTTTCCACTCTCTTCATTACCCCTCACATCTGTCTCCCAAAGAGGTAACAATTGGATATTCAGAAAAGCTGCTGCATGCTGAGAATCCACAAGTCCTTCTGAAGAGCCTTTCAGGTGACCATCTTTGATTGCCTCTACTGGGACTCAGCTTTCTTAAAGCTGCTTCTGGGGCTTGGAAAAGTAATGTACATCAAAAATCCACAAACCACCAGTTTAGGCAGTCAAGTACATCTTAGCAGAGCTCTGCAATCCTCACTACAGTGGAGAATGCAGACAGTGTGTCCAACCTATCACTAATCTTCACAGGCAGACACAGAAAGTTTGTTAGGGTGAAGTCAGCACCACACTCCTCACCGAGGAGATAATGCCATTTTTACACCATGTGAAAAGGTCAAAAATCTCTCTGTATGCTTCATCCAATATGTATTAGTTACATGTAAGATAATTATTTCAGTATTTAATCCTTTATACTGTGAAATACGAGCAGCTATATTTCAGCAAGCTTGAATAATCATCTAAACCACAATTTGCATGAAAGGATCACTGAAAAATTATGGTTGGTATCAGGACATTTTGTTTGTAAAGGGCAACTGGCACTCAATTACTGCATTCGCATATATAAATGTTTTACATTCCAAACCAAAGCCAGTGTAGCCCTTTTGTGATTTCAGATAAGTTTTTCTTCTACAAAGACAGATACTGCAAACCTTAAATCTCAGATACCAATTTATTTAACAAGTACCATCCTACCAGTAGATTCTGCTCTTTATCTTGCCTCTAGCTTAAAATTGTTCATACATTGTTCAACCATGTTCTGGTTTAAATTGTTCATACATTACACATCAGGAGTTTCTTGAGCAACTTAGTCTTTAGGAGTAGAAATGAGCATACACAAACTGTGGATATGCAAATACTGTTCACTCCCTCCCCCTTTTTGTCCCAAGAAGTTTACCAGTGCGCAGAGCAAGTCTACTGCTTCCAAGATGAGCTCCTGATGGCCAATTCGTGTGACTCCAAGGTCTTCCAGTTCTTGATGAGTAATGCGCAGTAGCTGGTCACCACTAATCTTCTCTCTCTCAAAGTTCTTAATATATTGCTGCAGGCAATCATCAAGACCTGCAGAAACAGGACAGAAGAAAGGAGGACAAAAGTTAGCAACATTTTGTACTGCCACAGGAAATCAAAATGGGCTGAAACAAAAAAATTGAATGGAGAATATTTGCCCTATCTTTGAGGTAATTTTATGCTATCCAGAAATCATAAGATTTGGAGAGTTATAGCAGCCATGGCTTTTCCACCAGTGGATGATAACAAACACTCCTGAACAGAGCCCTGAATTATTGTAATGTACTGTACTAGAAATTCATAACAGCAGTTAAGTTAGTAATACTTCCATTACATCAGGGAGGGGACATGAGGGGAGGAAACAAGGGAGAGGATATATCAACAGATGCTGTTAATTTTTACAGCTATTCAAGAGACGGGAAATAAGGGAAAGCACTTGTATCAGAGACAAATTCTAAGGGTATAACCGGAGTGTGAATATATTTAATGCCACACACAGGAGTACCTACCTACTAGTGCTTCTTAAACTCCCTCTCAGTGTACCTCTGCCTCGGTAGGTAGCATGATGAGAAGGGGCTGCTGCAGACCTCCCCCCAGCTAGAAACACATCTCTTCATTCGACTCTTGACTGCAGTGCCTCATACCCCGCTGAACTACCTGACAGTCTCCAGAACATGCCAGCCCCTAAATAGGCTGCAAATGGCTCTGCAGAGCAAGAAAAGTGATAGCACTGCAAATGCATAAACTGGACCCCAATGGCAGCTGTATGGAGTCACTCAAATCAAGACCTGGGTGCACTCCCCAGAATATGGTAATTGAGGAGCAGAAAGAGGCCCACTGTGCCATAAAAAACATCCTAGAAGTGCATGAAACAAGTTTGCTCAGGACCTGGATGAGTGCAGTACAGGACCAGCTCCTGCTTTGGGGGCTATCCCTATTGTAGCTGCTCAGTTTGAGTGTCACACTAACAACATGTAGCTGACTACACGTTATTGCCTGGAACAAAAGCACTGCAGAATGTGAGACAATTGAATTAATCCCTTCCCCATCAAGCTTTGTTTAATAGGTTCAGACCAGTATAGGGAAGCTCTGCCGTGTGTGCATCGCTGTGTCAAGGGAATAAAGAAGACTCTTGGGTCTTTGATGGTCCATCTAAAATTTGTGTCTGAATCCCTTCCAATGGACCAACATAACTGACACTGAGTAGCAGGACTTGACAAAAACCTGAATGCATTCATTTAGCAGCTTCTTGAGAGACACCACCTTTCTGATGGTTGTCTTCAATCCCAGCCAACATGTATCTCTCTCCCTGATGTTGAAAAGACAAGCATTGCTCATTAGGTTGCAATGAAGTGAGAACATTTGTACTTGCTAATCAAAATGTCTGAAAATCCTGAAGATGAGGAGAAAAGACTGATCTGACTGCCAAGCCCCAGCTGACTCACAAGAACCTCAGCTTATAGCATAAGGATTCTCTGAAACTGGTTCTGTTGCATTTTTGTTCTCATTCACTCCTTTTAGGGTGTAACCACACCTCCAAGAGTCACAGGAAGAACATGTTGTACCACAGGCAGGGATGTCCCAGTGCAAGGCCAGCCTGCTGCTCTTGGCTCAGCCCTTGGCACACTATGTCCCTGCTACAACACAACAGCACAATCTTCATACGGCTTTAACTTCTCAAATTCACACACCAAAACCAAGCCACATGCAAACAGAATGTAAATCAAAGGCCCAAGACACAGGAAATTCTCCTTAGCGGGTCCCCAGTTCCAGTAACCTCTGATCACATCTTTTTAGAGCCTGCCACCTGATTTCCTGCCTCCAAAATAAACCCACTTAAAGTTCTAGGTTAATCAAGCATTTGTAGCCACATCTCCATTAATTTCCCATTCTAATCATTGCTCAAGTCAGCCATATGCTGTATTAAAACTTATTAGCAGAGAACAAAAATTGTGATCCAGGACTGATCATGTATCATATCTTTGCATACAGCCTAGCTCTCAGATGTGCTTGACCAACTTGTGAGAAGTTAAAAATTGTTCCCTAATTCTCCAACAAAGAAAATACAAATGGCTACAATTTCAGTAAAAGCAATGATCTAATAAATTTTTTATTCTCCTAAGTTTTGTTCCTTTAGAGTAGGGAAATGGAATTATCAGAACCACCAACCTTGATCCATAAAATTATTTGGTTGCCACACATGGGCACAGAAAAGATGACAGAAACCCTCTCTGAAGTAAAAACAACAGGATCTGCTGCTTTTTGGAGTGTCCTACTGTGTTTTTTATATTTTTTCCCTTTGTACTTAAATAACAAATACTCAGTCTTTGGCCTTAGAACAGCTTGTTAATCAAAAGTAATTGTCACCATTTGACTCAGGTGCAACAACAACACTCTCGATCCCTGCCCCCTTCCACCCAGGTAGGGAAGGAGAGAGAGAGAGAGAGACTTGGCTGGATTGAAAACTAAACTACACAGCTTTAATTAAATTCTAATGATACAAGAAAATATATAAAATTATATACAAATGTGTTCAGGATGTTCAGGAAATGTGCAAACCCCCTATTGACTCCTCCCACCCCCAGCAACTCCCACAGCATCTCCTGAGCTGCGAACAGTTCCAAAAAATCCCGGAGCTGCCATGGAGAGCACAGAGTGATGAGGGTCAGGAGAGCTCGAGCCTGGGGGTCGACGGTGATGGATGGACGGAGTCCCCCCGGACACCGGCCATGGATGGAAGAGAAGGGAAGAAGAAACAGGAAGGAAGTTGTCTTCTGTGATCTCTGACCTTCCTCTGAGCTTATGTAGATATATGGAATGGAATATCTCTGGCCAATTTTGCTGTCTGTCTAACTCAGCCTCCTATGGGGGGTCACAGACCTCCCCATAGTGCCTGAGCCTGCAGAGTGAAGGTGCGACCTTGAAGACCCAGCAGTTAGAAAAACATTCCAGCTGTTATCATTCCTAGCTGGAACACTCTGCTATTAGTTAAAAAAAACACCAACAAAACTTACTGAAAGAAAAAAGAAAAAAACAGTAAAAGGAAAAGTGGCTTCATCCTGGCTCAAACCAGGACAGTAATGTTTCACTGTAAAACAGCACAATACACGCATAGTAGTGTGATGCACGAGAGAAAGACCTTAATTTCTTCCTTCAACACCATTGCTTCAGAACATGCCAAAGAGCCCAAGTCCTGCATATTCCCACTGGGAGCCCTTAATTTATCCAAATGCTGGTGCTTCTATTTTAAGTGCTAAGCAATGCTCACATTATTAACAAATAGAGAAGCAGTAATAGAAATCAGGTATTATTTTCTGCATGACATCTGAAAGAAAGGCTGTTTACCAAGTTCCAGATCCATAAACACTCATTTAGACATTAAACTGAAGTTGTAAAAAGAAATCTTTTTTCCTCAAGAATTTTTGAATCCACTTCACATGTTCACACACAGATGAGATACCATTATCTTGAATTATCTGACATGAGACCTCTTGATTTATCTGTATTTGTACTTATTTTCTTCAAAAGACCTTCTTAGCCCAACTTTTCCATCTGGTATATTTAATTTCATGAGCTGTTTTACAAGTACAGTCTCATGTATAACAGCATTTCTTTTTGAAAGAAATTGAATACAATACATAAAACACTTCATCTAAAAATATATTAAGAATAGGCCATAGATGCACTTCTGCTAAATGACTAAAAAGGAAGGCAGTAAGTGCTTCTGATATTCCTGACCTTAAGTCCCACACTGCTTACACAGACTGATGAATCAGAATAATAACATTAAAATATTCAATGTCATTAGGTATCAAAAAAATTAATTCCCAGCTAAGAGACTAGCAATATACATCCAGAATAAGACATGACAGATACACTTAATAAACACTTAATGACAGTTAATTCTAAATAAATCCATTACTCTTTCTCCTCCTGCTATCTATGTATTTTTGACATTCAGATGTAATAATAGAAGGCTGCACATAGTTCATATAGGGTAAGAAAAAAATTTGAAACAAAAATATTACTGACAATTGACTCACCAATTTCGTAAAAGACATATCTAGGAAAGAACAAAATGATTTAACCGTAGATTGCATGACATTTTTAGAATAGCTTGCCACAATTACTGCCTCTCATTCCCTAAACAGAGTATCCTTTTAAAGTAATTTATTTCTGTCATTCTATTTCTTAATTAAAGAGCAGCAATTCTTTTTGTAAATAAAACTGTGCACAGATAGGACATAATAACAACAACAATACAATACAAAGTCCTGCACGTGGGTTGGGGCAATCCCAAGCACAACTGCAGGTTGGACAGAGGATGAATTGAGAACAGCCGTGCAGAGAAGGACTTGGGTGTGTTGGTCGAGGAGAAGCTCAACATGAGCTAACAATATGTGCCTGTAGCCCAGAAAGCCAACCCTGTCCTGAGCTGCATCAAAAGAAGCGCGGCCAGCAGGTCAAGCGCGGTGATTCTACCTGTCTACTCCACTCCTGTGAGACCCCACCTGGAGTACTGTGTCCAGTTCTGAAGCTCGCAACATAGAAAGGAAGTAAAGCTGTTGGAGGGAGTCCAGAGAAGGGCCACAAAGATGATCAGAGGGCTGGAGCACCTCTCCTACAAAGACAGGCTGAGAGAGTTGGGGCTGTTCAGCCTAGAGAAAAGAAGGCTCCAAGGAGATCCTATGGGGAGGGCTTCCAGTACCTGAAGGGGGCCTACAGAAAAGCTGGGGAGGGATTTTTTACAAGAGCTTGTAGTGAAAGGATGGAGGGAAATGTATTAAAAACTGGAAGAGGGGCGATATAGCTTAGATATCAGGAAAAAATTATTTAGTGGGAGAGTGGTGAGACACTGGAACACGTTGCCCAGAAAAGCTGTGGATGCCCCATCCTTGGAATTGTTAAAGGCCAGGTCAGCTGGGGATTTGAGCAACCTAATCTAGTGGGAAATGTTCCTGCCCATGGCGGGGGGTTGGAACTAGATGATCTTTAAGGTCCCTCCCAACCCAACCTATTCTATGATTCTACAATAATAATGCAAAAGGGCTGACAGCATTCCTCACCCACACCTTTTGTTCCCAGAGCCATGGCAGACAGCCCTGTTTGCCAGCAGCCAGTCAGCCACTGCTGTGTTCAGATCAACAGGAGGGGAACTGCAGGGAACAGGAGTTCCTGGCTGATAATGCCATTTAACTTGGCACAGGACAAGATGTACCATATAACATCGGGTGCCTGGGGTCCATGGAGACACCCTGGAAGCCAACAGGAAAAGTACAGCTTTCTTAATTGCACTGTGTCTTTTACAATATTCCTGAAAGTTCAGCATACACCGAACCTCAATGCAGTAAGAAATTATTACAGCTGGCACCATCTGCTTCTCTTCTACCCCGAGATGCCCTCGTACCAGAGGATGTCACACAGCCCACATACCACAGGAATACCAGCAAATAACTCACTTTGATGTACTATTCCTTGTTCCTGGTCATGGGTGCAATTAAGGTTGCCAAGCTTCATCCTGGCTCAAACCAGGACACAAGCATCTAACAGTCCTTGTTGGTTTGAAGAACAGTGGCCTCAGATCTTTATCAGGTTTGTTATTTTATTTTATTTTGGAAGCATAAAGCCCCATAGGACACCAAATGGGTGTTGTGATGTCAATACACAAGTAACAGTCTCATATTCAACAACTCCACTCCTCACCTAAAATAAGTGCAAGATGTTTTGAGTGCATGTAAAGGCACAGATATTCCAAAAATAAGAGAGTTTAAGGTAAAACCATATGATGATACTCCTCTTCCTTATGCACCTACTATTTAAAAGAAACACTATATAATGTAACCTTCTTTTTACCTTGACAGATTCCTCAAGTCTTGTGTCCCAGAAATAACACAGACTTCCAAGGATGCTAACTATTGAAGTACTCCCCCACCATGCATGGTTTCCATCAGAGCTTATCAACCACAGAGTCTAGCAATGTTGCCCAGATCCCACTCATTACCTGGCCAGTTTGACTGGGGCCTAGAAGAGCATTGAAGATGTTAATACACTGCATATCTCTGCCACCCGGCATACCCATGAGATGTTATGCACACAGATGGACTATTCTGTGCATTAACAGAAAAGGGATAACTCTTTTCATTAAGTATAACGCAAGTTCTACCTCATCCGTAGAGGGACTAAACAAATGAAAAAACCCAAACATAGCAAAAGTAAAGAAAGCTCCCCCAAAAGAAACATGGAATCATCAAGGCTGGAAAAGACCTTTAAGATCATCAAGTCCAGCCTATGACCAACACCACCACATTGGCTCCACCCTGGCACTAAGTGCCACATCCAGCCTTTCCTTGAACACATCCAAGAATGATGCCTCCACCACTTCCCTGGGAAGTCTATTCCAATGTCTAATCACCCTCTCTGTGAGGAAGTACTACCTAATATCCAACCTAAACCTCCCCTGGGGCAGCTTGAGGCCATGCCCTGTTTTGTTGCTAGTTCCCTGGAAAAAGAGCCCAGCTACCACCTGACTACAACCTCCCTTCAGGTAGCTGTAGAGAATCATAAGGTCACCCCTGACTCTCCTCTTCTCCAGGCTAAACAACCCCAGCTCCCTCAACCCACCCCTATAAGACTTTCCCTCTAGTCCTTTCACCAGCCTTGTTGCTCTCCTCTGGACCTGCTCCAGCACCTCAACATCCTTCTTGAAGTGAGGGGCCCAGAACTGGACACAGGACTTGAGGTGAGGCCTCACCAGTGCTGTGTACAGGAGGAGAATCACATCCCCACTCCTGCTGGCCACACTATTCCTCATACAAGCCAGGATGCCATTGGCTTTCTGGGCCACTTGGGCACACTGCTGGCTCATGTTCAACTGGCTGTCAACCAGTACTCCCAGGTCCCTCTCTGCCAGGCTGCCCTCCAGCCACTCCTCCCCCAGTCTGTACTGCTGACAGGGGTTGTCGTGGCCAAAGTGCAGGACCCTGCACTTGCTCTTGTTGAATTTCATGCCATTGGCCTCAGCCCATTGACCCAGCCTGTCCAGGTCCTCCTGCAGCTTCTTCCTACCCTCCAGCAGATCGACATTTCCCCCAAGCTTGGTGTCATCCTTGAACTTACTGAGGGTGGACTCAATCCTCACATCCAGGTCATCAATAAAGATGTTGAATAGAACTGGGTCCAGTACTGATCCCTGAGGGACACCATTGATTACCAGACACTGTTGGTCATTCAACCAGTTTTTAACCCAGAGAAGGGTGCACCTGTCCAAGCCGTGGACTGCTCAGAAGAATCAGTGCTTTTAAGACTAAAAAAACCCAAACCTTCTCTAGAAAACTTTCTCTTGCAAGTAGAGCACACTGGAGTTGGATTTTTTCCCCTACTCCATCATTGACTTATATCTTGTGTGGTCCAAGTCAGAGTTCATCAAATCATTAACAATTTTTAATGGCTTGCTGATGTGAAATCAGGCAGATTTCTATGCAATGAATTCCTTTTATTAGAGATGTGCAGTAGAAAATGATCAAAGAATGTTTCATTTCATGTTTTTACTCATCTGATTTTGTGGAATGCAATTGCAAGAAGCAGAAATATCCTCTAGGGAAATCTTCCATGCTTGTAATCTCCTGACTAATAACTCAACTCCACACCTCATGATGTCTCTGAGGTATTGTCTTATTTTGATATGTGTAACAGGTTAGCTTTTGAAACAAGCAAACCAACAAACCGCCCTGTCTTTCAGTGTCAGAACAGGTTATAAACATCACAGTAATTCAAAGTCAAATGACCTTCTCCATGAAATATATCCTCAGGTTCTGATCTCACAGTCTGTTCCTTCTCTGCAAGCATTTCAGTCTTTCCTCTCATCTCTAAGAGACTAAAAAGTATTAAAACAGACTTTTTCTGTGGCTAGGTCTGAACTAAAATTTGTAATCAGCTGCTCAGATACACATGAGAAGATGCAGTTTTTAAAATAGTGGCAACTAGGTAGAATATTCTTTCCTAAATTGGTGGCAAAATTATTTTTCCTTAAGACCAAAAAACTACAGTGAAAGTAACAGAGCTTGTGATCTTATCAGCCTTCTTTTTAGTATGGGGTTAAGGAAAGATGATAAACGTCACAGGTGTAACTACCATACCTGACACTTTGACATAGGAGTGTATTTTTATGCTGCCCTGGTAAATCAAAATGAGGATGCAAACTGATAACTTCGCTTGGCAAGTCCTTGTTCTGTAAACCCAGCATTTACTGAAAAGCAATGACTTACAGACAACACATAGAATAATTTTGCACAGGAGGGACAGACACATAGCTTTCTTCAAAAGCAATTTACAGGGCTGGGGCTTTTATTTTTCTTTAAATATAAGGCAAACAAATCTGTTTTCAATCTGAACATAAAGAGTATGCCCTACCTGAATTCCATCAGGTTTACGGCTTAACAAATATAAATCCAGACAATGTGTGTAGCACAGAATTTAACAAGTCATTAAAAATAAATAAATAAACTTGACTTTAGTATAAGCTGGACATTTATGTAGCACTATCTAATGTCTTTTCATGTTGTAAATGATTATTTGCTACATTTTAACCTAAAAAAAACATGATGGAAGGGGATACTAAAACAGTAAATGTTCAGGAAAAAAATCACAGTTACTTCCTCCCTGTTCACAATTAAATATCCATTAAATTTAAGCCAACTATTCTTAAGGACTAACCACCTTTGAAACTGCAAACATGTCTACACGTTTCAAATGTAAATATTTAACTGAGTTTCTATTCTGTTAAAACATCGTGCTATGTTTTGCACATTTGTACCTAGGCTTTAATAATTAATTAATTAATTGATTGATCTGGAGCTGGTTGGGTGTTACCCTTTTCACTTTAATTATACAAAAATACAAGCTTTGCTTATGTCAAAAAGCAAGATGACCAACCAGAAAACTTCTCCCTTCTTTCACCTCAACCAGACAGCGGCTCCTGGGCACTGATACTGCAGGCAGCCCAAAGCAGGCAATTGTCCCTGTAACAGGAGCTTCTATCTGGGACATGCACTCATGTTTCTTCCCTAGGAGAACCAGAGCATGAGAGGAGAAAGATTAGGCAAGGCCAGGTTTCCCCAGAATCTGTACATGGGAGATGGGCATTTGGAAACTCACCATGTCCCTAAGCCTCAGTGCCACCACAGAAACCAGGTGTAAGCCAAGCCAGCTGCTTCCCCACCTGAGAGGCAAAGATAATTCTCCCCTGCCCACGTAAGGAATGCTCACGTAAGGGATGCTTGCTGCTTCGGACTCTTCCTGGGCTTCATATGTGACAAACAGATGTCACAGTTATCAGTGCCAAAAGACAGAGCAAAGAACAGAATGTTTTAATTGCAGTAGATGTCGAATGCCTATTGTTGACAGGATGGCTGCAAAAAAGTAATGCCTTATCCCAGAGGAGCAGTGCAGGTAGAATGGCAAAAGAAACTCCAGAAGCAGGTTTTGTTCCGGATTAGAAAAAATAAAATATTTTTTAAACTGGAGGGAAAAAAAATATTAATTGAAGGCCCTAGATTTATGAATGGGTACAGGATTAAAGAAAAAAAAAGAACTGCAAAATAGCAAGACAATCATTTTGTGCACTGGTTATCTCTGATTTAAGGCAAAAACCTTCCAACTGCAAAATGTATTTGTCCTCCACTCCATAGAATTATTATAGACTTTATTCTCTCTCACAGTCCTTCTCCCCCTCTCTCTGCAAATATCTGTAAATGAGTCAAACAAAATTCCAAAAGTATTTAAAACAAATATTAAAAATTACTGAGGCAATCCAAATAATTATTCCTTCAAACACAACGTGCTTAGTCATAGAATACAGTACAAGAATACATTTTTCCATGTACAGTTTAGGGTAGGTATGGTTTTTTTCTATGAATCTTTAACTGTTCACAGCCAAAACATTGCTGAAAGGTACTGCTACCTAAAACCTAAATTTTTAGACAATGAAAGATAAACACAATGCATTAAAAACCCCACTTTATATCCTCTGTATATGTAAAAAAGCACATTAAGTTTGTAGAACAAAGAACTCAAAAGACAGAAGATGCAAACATGAGAAGTAGCAATGAAATCCAAACTCAGCATCTCTTGAGTATCCTCCTATAAATGGCAAGATCCTGGCTACTAGACCTGAGGTACCTTGTACAGCAGTGAGGTAAATTAAAACTTATCATACTGGGCTCCTGAAGACATACACAAAATAAGGAATGTAAGTATTTTTTAGACCTTGCATGTTGCTTTGTTCTTTTTAAGGTACTTGCCAGAAGGGCCTGTGGTTGGTGAAAGGAAAAGCCACCAGTGAACAAGGACACAGCCTTATGCCAGGCAAGAACTTGGGAGTCCAGGAGAGTATAGCAACAGCAACGAGTTGAAACAGAAGTTTGAGATCGAGTCACTGTGAAGTTTGTCATGGGTCGCTATGAATTCTGTAATTAAAAATCAAATCCTGTTCTAATAATCTAACTCTGAAGTTTCTGTTG